CCTTCCGTTTCTTTTTATTTACTTTTTAAAAAATAGTGTTGTTATTGATTGCAGAGAGGAAGGGAGAGGGAGAAAGAGAGAGAAACATCAGTGATGAGAGAAAATCATTGATCTGCTGCCTCCTCCACGCCCCGACTGGGGATCGAGCTGCAATGCAACCCAGGCATATGCCCCCACCAGGAATCAAACCAGGACCTGCTGGGTTCATAGGTTTGACTCAACCACTGAGCCAAACTGGCCAGGCTAGGCAATTTATTTTTATCTATTGAAGCCTGTTTCCTCATCACAGACAATAAAGCTACATTAAAAGATTTTGAAAATGAAATGAAATTGTGAATGGAAAGTGCCTATCATGAGGTAAGAAAATGCTCATTTGAATGTTTAGCTATTATCAGTGTTGATGCTAAAGGTGCTGGTATCATGCTCAAGACCACAGAATATTAGTTCCTTGGGGGGTTAGAGTTTGTTTGGATGTCAAGAGCAGAAGAGAGTAACTGCATTTTACCCTGTTTTATTCATAGTTGCACACAAGTGAACTCAATGATGGCTATGACTGGGGTCGTCTTAATCTTCAGTCGGTGACTGAACAGAGCTCCCTTGATGACTTCCTTGCAACTGCAGAACTTGCAGGAACAGAGTTCGTAGCTGGTAAGTTGTTTATTGCTGAGTGCATATGACACTGGTCACATTTCCGTCTTTGCTGACTAGATATAAACAAATCTACCTGCAACTGTTTTTTCAGACCCTACTAAATTCATAAATGAGCTGTCTTTAATCCAAAGGCAGATATCCCAGCAGCATTGTGGGGTCCAGTTGTACTCAAGTTGTGAGCTACAGAATGTGCCACAGTTTGTTGTTGTTGTTTTGTGGGGGTTTTTATACCACAGTTTTAAAATTCAGCTCTGAAAAAACACTTCAAATTATACAGTATCATATTAAATTCAAGAAACTCAATCTTTCCTAGGGAAAAAAGCCAGTCAACATTATGGTGGACAGTACTAGTGTTTTCCAGAATGTTTTTTGATATCATTGTTAGAAGCACAATTCTAGGCCTGCTCTTGTTAACTTAGGCAACTTGTATAGTATTTGAAAGTATTTGTCAACACATTATAGTGAATTTTTCTGTGCATGTCATTTGTTTTAGTCATTTCTCTCCCTGGTTTTTTAATACGTGTTTCTGAGCACTTGGAAAAGTACATGTCACAGAGAGAGAATTATAAACTACTATCCCTGTTGCTCTTTTATTATTGTAAATGTTATTAAGTTGTTTGGCAAATTCGTTCATTTGTTCAGAATGCTTTGTTTAGTCTCAGCCTCTCTCAGGCATTGTACTGGCAACAGTGTTGAGTAAGGCAAGTTTTGGTTCTGTATATTTTATTTTAGGTGCTATGAAAGAAGCCTGTAGCAGATATGTGGGGTCATAAAAGATGGAGGTGCTGGCAATTGAGATAATCACCAGTGGCCAATAATCAATCATCCCTATGTGATGAAGCCTCCGTAAAAACCATTTAGAGATGTGGCACCTCAAGTGAAGTTGTGGGACAGAACCCTTCTATCTCTGGAGTCTGATAGAATATAATGGAATTGTAAGAAACCAATTGGTGTTTGGAGAATTGATTGTTGGTCTGCGAAAAACCCATATATTTGGATTCAAAAGTGGTGGTAGTAAACACAGTTCAGAGTCAGGTGCTGCATTGTTGTGTGATTACTTGCAGCAGCACTCATAGCAACACTGCTGAAATGAGAAGGAGAAAGAATAGTTGGCTTTACATAAGGGTGGAGATTTGGGAGTGGGTGCAGTGAAATAATGAATTTTGATGTTCAGTCAGAGTGGTCGAATGTATGTACCACATGGCTTTAGCCAACGAGGGAAAGAAGTTGGATGATGGACTGGAGAAAGAGGAAAGACTCGGGGGGCTAGAGGTATTTACAGTGGTTGGACATTGGGTGGGAGATCATCATTGGAAGGAGAAATTAAAAGAATTATTTTTTCAAAAAAATATTTTATTGATTTTTTACAGAGAGGAAGGGAGAGAGATAGAGAGTCAGAAACACTGATGAGAGAGAAACATCGATCAGCTGCCTCCTGCACATCTCCTATTGGGGATGTGCCCGCAACCCAGGTACATGCCCTTGGCCGGAATCGAACCTGGGACCTTTCAGTCCGCAGGCCGACGCTCTATCCACTGAGCCAAACCGGTTTTGGCAAAAGAATTATTAAATACGTAGCTCGAGGGGTGTGTGTTTTGACTGCTTGTGAATGGTGCTTGGATTTGACTGTACTTGGTTACTAGACTGTGCAGCCCAAGGTATTGGTGGTCTGAGGAGGGTAGCAGACTGCAGCCTTTGCTTAGAGTTCAGTAGGAATGTTGCTGAAGATGTCTCGTTATCTTTGAATAGGACCTTCCCTTGACATTTTGGTAAGAAGCTTAGCTGACTTCTAAGGAGACTAGGTGGCTGTGTGTGGTGAATTCGAGAGGCCTGGAGCAACTCCGGGGTGGCTGGAGGGAAATAGAGCCCTAGAACAGAGGTCTCTCTAATTCACACATGGACATGATATTTATTTGAATTTATGTATGGCACTAATCCTGGGTGTTCATCATACATACCTTATATACATTATAGTGTAATAGTTCACCCTTTCAACTGGAGTGAGACTGCTGAATCTTTGCTTCCCCATCCATTCCCATTGGCTTACAATTATTCTCCCTGTATCAGCGGTCAGCAACTGGTGGTCAGCGGACCACTGGTGGTCCGTGAGGTCCGAAAGGTTGGCGACCACTGCCTATATAAAATGAAGGGATTGGTTGTAGTAAATCTTCACAGTTTCTTCCCACTCTTAAAGCATTTATAATATGGAGTTTTATAAATAATAAAAACATTTTCCTTTTTTGTAGAAAACTTCATTTGGAAATTATGATTTATCCAAGGCTAGAGGAATCTAAATTTTAAAAGCTTAAATTCTGTTTCAGATGCTCATATTTTTAGTTTTGAAGTAATGACCAATATTCACTATTCGTATTGCCTTTTGAGTAACAGTTCTTTTCTGTTCTATAAACAGAGAAGCTTAATATTAAGTTTGTGCTTCCTGAGGCTAAAACTGGACTGCTGTCTTTTGAGGAGAGCCAGAGAATTAAAAAGCTCCATGAAGAAAACAAACAGTTCTTGTGTATACCAAGGAGGTGAGTTGAACAAGAATGTAGGGCATTATGAGGCACAACATGGCCACTGAGTGTAACATTTTTATATGTTCACTCTTTTTCTGCTCTCTATTCTCAGTCAGTTGCCATTATTAAATCCAAATCCCTATTTTATTTTGGTAACTCATATGGAGTTTTTCCCCCCTGTGATTGTTTCAGACCAAAGTGGAACAAGAAAACTAGCTCCGAAGAACTCAAACAGGCAGAAAAAGATAACTTTCTAGAATGGAGACGTCAGCTTGTCCGGTGAGTGTTAAGGTTATCTGAAGATTTGCCTTGGGTTCCACGTCAGGCATTTTGATGTGCTAGCATTGCTGTTTGCATTTAAAAACTTTTTTAGAAAACTGGTAGATTTCTTTTAAGTGCAAATTGCTGGCCACACATGAATCCTTGCACAAAGATGGCGAGTTGGTTAATAGTGAGTGGCTTACTCTGCTCCATTCCTGGCTGTTTCTCTCGTTTATACCCTTCTCCACCAGTAGACACCCTGGAGTTGATCACTGCTCTCGGGCATTCCTCCAGGAAGAAATGCCGTGGAGAACTGTCACTTTGTGTAATAGATAAACTTCCAGGGTTTAAATAGATTAAATATAAAACTTGAATTTGATTTTCTTATTGATTCATCAGAAAGTATCTATAATAATAAAAGCATAATATGCTAACTAGACTGAACAGCCCAACGACCTCCTGGACGAAGTCGCGGCTGTGAGGGCCAAGCCCCTTGCACGAATTTCGTGCATCAGGCCTCTAGTATAAAAACAATTTGACAGTTAATATTTGCGTACTTATTTTTTAATGCAATGAATTTCAGTGTTTATGTTACTCAAAACTTTCTATATAATCTGGCAAAGGTATAAACTTATCATTTTAAAGCCAGGCTAGAAGAGGAACAAAAGCTGATATTGACTCCATTTGAAAGAAATTTGGACTTTTGGCGCCAACTCTGGAGGGTGATTGAGCGAAGGTAAATGAGCATTTTGGGGAGAGGGGTACTGGCGTCATTGTTGTGGTGTTGTTAGATTTAGGTGTTAATACATGTTTATAGGCCCAGGGATGGAGGGGGGGCAGGATTAAGCTATACAAAGGGCTGTTGTTGAGAATTATTATAAAAACCGAAAGTATGATTCTGTTTTTTAAAATATATAATGTTTTTTGTTATTAGATGAACACAATAAGCTTGTGAGAATGGTGAGCATTTTCTGTAAGATGAGTTCTGAAGCAACTGTAGTTATTTCAGCCACTGTATATTGAATTTCTACTGGTAATACGGAAAATATGGGTGTGAAAAGGAATAGGTATCTGCCTGAAAGAGCCAGTATATTATGGGGGGGAGGCCAACCAAAGCACCAGGCAACAGAGCACACAACAGATGAATGAAATGCACTAGTCAGTGAGGGCAAACCTATGACATGTGTGTCAGAGGTGACACGTGAACTCATTTTTTTGGTTGATTTTTCCTTGTTAAATGGCATTTAAATATATAAAATAAATATCAAAAATATAAGACTTTGTTTTACTATGGCTGCAAATATCAAAAAATTTCTATATGTGACACAACACCAGAGTTAAGTTAGGGTTTTTCAAAATGCTGACACGCCAAGCTCAAAAGGTTCGCCATCACTGCACTAGGTCTAGGACGATGCAGTTCTGGTAAACTACAAAGCAGTATGATCCTACTATGTTGCAGATAGAAAGGTAGTGGGCCAAGTCATAGGCCAGGAAGGATCGGGTGGGGGGAATGATTGTTTTAATTGGAATTTGAAAAAAGAAAAATTTTAATAAATTAAGAATGGGATATTTTCAGTCTTTTTCATGTCTTGATTGTTAGAAATGAATGAATCAACTTTCTCCATTCTCACCTCTTTGATATAGTGCAGCTTTTTCAACCAGTGAGCTGCAAGAATTTTAAAACACGCAGTACCTGACTTTTTGGTCAGGGGCACTGACCTCTTTTCGCTTAGATAGTCAAAAAAATGACAGCATCCAACACAATAGCTGTCCTGTGTGAATGAATCAAAATTATACCCTTTTTTTGTTAGATTGTCAAAAATAATTATTTTTGGTGTGCCGCGGAATTTTAGTGATTAGTTTATATGTGTCATAAGATGAAAAAGATTGTTGGTATAGTTAAAAGGTTTTTGTTTTCCTCAAGGTTTCTGAATTACTTACAAGGACTCCATAAATGAAATTTATATTTGAAATGATGTTTTTTAACAAAAGGAACTTTCAGATTGTATTTTTTTTTTAAATACATAAAATGTACCCAGTAAGAACATTAGGAAACAGGATGCCTGGTTCTCGGAAAAGAATATTAGTGCATTTGCATTGTTATGTTAAAAAAAAAAAACACAACAGGAATTGGATTAAACTTGGAAGCCGGGTGGGGCGTAATTGCCTGGTTGAAGGGAACAGGGAATGACCTCAGAGCTCCCTGTTCAGATTAGCTTCAGTGCCTCGCCTCTCCCTGGCCTTGAGAGCTAGATCTCAAGCTTCTATCTCAGCTTGCTCTCTCGGGGCTCGGGGGCGGGCACAGGCTTGCCTCTTAGAGGTTTGACGTGTCTTAGTTGCTGTTCTTACTGTCTCTTCGTCCTGATGAGTTCCGGCCTTTCCTTGTTGTAGGTTTTGACAGGGAGCAAAAGTAACCATACGTGTTCTCCCGTGTTTAACAGGATGGCCCTTTACTCGCTTCTTATGCCCTAAATAAGCAGTCCGTTTCCCCAGCCTGAGTCTGTGCTTGTTGAAACTCTTAGTTAGCTTCAGTTGGATTACAGTGTTACTTGTGTATTGTTTTTATTATGTGATATTTCCCTCTTTATAAGAACATATTTCTACCTCCATGAATATAATGTGTTTTACATGGAGGTGTGGATCTGAGTTACATAGAAACATTACCAATAAAGTGACTACCGCCACATCTTTTAACAGGAAATACTTGCTAGCGTGTTCTGTACAACCAATGTCTCCTTCCATTAGGTAACAGGCAGCTAAGCCATCTGCCTCCTTAATTTCAAAAGTAGTTATCAGAAAAGATTTGATGTATGACATGTCATTGAAATGCAGGAAACTGCGAGGGCAGAACACTGCATTCCAGTAACATAGGCGCCTTCGTTGTATTGCGCAGACCCTTCCTGGTACATAGTTGGCACTTTTCTCTGCATCCTAATTCAGCACACGAAGCAAGCTGTCTTAAATGTGTCTTCTTCTCTTACTGGTGTTTCTAAGCAGATTACTTGTTCTTATTCTTTCTACATGTTTGGTAGATAGACATAAAGTTTGTGGACTTTGTAATTTTAGTTCATTAGGCTTTTTTGCAGTCATTCTTGCGTTTACTCTTAAATACAGTTTTTAAAGTGGTAGATATTACCGTAAAGAAGAAAATATTAGGGCCTGCTTAATTTGAGAATTTATAAACAATCTATCATAAATTAGCAAGTCTGTGAGTTCCTTTGAATCACAATTATGCTGGAAATTTAACTGTTCTGAAGGAATTGTACATTGATTGTCAAAAACCCTGCCCTCAGTGGTAACTGGGTTCCATGCATTTCCTTGGTGTTCGGCATAGTTGCGTAAGAGTTACCTCAGAAAAGGCTAACCAGATACGGATTTGGAGACTGCTGTAAGGGGGTAGGTGGTACATCTGCAACTTACTCCTTTCCAGTGGCAGTCACAACTGGCCCTTAAAAAACATCTTTTCTAGCCCTAACTGGTTGGCCTCAGTGGATAGAGTGTCGGCCTGTGGACTGAAGGGTCCCAGGTTCGATTCCGGTCAAGGGCATGTACCTTGGTTGCGGGCATATCCCCAGTAGGGGGTGTGCAGGAGGCAGTGATCGATGTTTCTCTCTCATCGATGTTTCTAGCTCTCTGTCCTTCCCCTTCCTCTATGTAAAAAATCAATAAAACATATATTTAAAAAAAAAATCTTTTCTAAACACAGAAGCTGAAGGAAGGGAGGATACTCCCATTAAAGTGAAATACTTGTGCTGCTTGCAATGCTGGGCTGCTATAGTCCCTACCACATTTTGAGGGGCTTGCTATCAACTGCAGTTTTCTTTTTTCAATCCTCACCTGAAGATTTTATTATTAGTATTATTAGTATTATTATTGATTTTGGAGAGAGAAGAAGGGGAAGGGAGGTGGAGAGACTTGATCAATTGCCTCCCATATTCACTCCAACTAGGGATTAAACTCGCAACCTAGGTATATGCCCTGACCAGGAATCGAACCCCAACCTTCCAGTGCACGGGATGATGCTTCAACCAACTGAGCCACCTGGCCAGGGCAGAAAGTTTTTTATACATCATCTATGTGGTTAAGAAATTGGATTTATCATTCTTGCTTCAGGATGGCAACTTAAGTTGATATTTTGCTGTTTTGGATTCTTGCCATCTAAACCCATTCTTGGAGTGGGTGGATGATTAAGTGCTAGATGTAGGCTTTGATAGGGTAGCTGTCAGCAGGTGATAAACATATTAGGGTTTTTTTGAGGCCTTAACACATTTTAGATTAAGTACTGAATATGTGGTGGACCTCACTATATCTCTCCAGGAGAAGTTACTAGAAGATACAGTTAAAATTTTAGCAATGAAATATCATCAGAGCTGTTAGTATAAGAGCAGGACAATATTATGATTATGAGCATGGCCCCTGGTCCATACTACCTTAGTTCCCATTCTGGTTCCATCAGTTGATAGCTGGCAACCTTGGACAAGTTACTTAATTCTAAGCTTTAGTTTCCTCATATATGAACGGGGAATAATTGTACCTTAAAAAGTTAAACATGTCAAATGCTTACTATATGGAAAATGTTTGCTTCTCTTACTATATGGTCAGCATTTCCTTTCACTTCACAATGATTGAAATATCTCACATTTGTTTTGCAGCGATATCGTGGTCCAGATAGTAGATGCTCGAAACCCACTCCTGTTTAGATGTGAGGATTTGGTAAGTAAAGTGTCATAAGATTCAAATCTAACAACCTTGGAGGAGCAGTGGGAGGACAGCATCACTGATAGAAATACTCTAGACAAGCGTTCTGTACTCTCCTCCAGCTTTGTTTAGTTAGGTAGGCCTTTCCTCCGAGGGTTAAAAGCTTTCGTAATGTGACGGTTGTGACAGATGTTTTCTCTTCGCAAACAGTTGTTTCTGTCTGCAGGAAGACACAAACACTGATGTGAACTTTCCAGCTTTTCGTTTAGAATCCACTTTGTTAATAGACATTTGCCAGTGTTTCTCATTTTTTGAGACACCAGTCAAAATAGCATTTTACTTACTTTGATATATTCCTGGTTATCTTACTTCTTATCCATCCCATTAAGTTTTCTCTTCTCACACTTTAGGTATTACCCCCTGTGGCGGTTTACAAATAAACTAAGTTTGTAAGCCACCACAGGGACTAATAAGGTATAATAATCACATGAAATAATGCAATATAGGCTTTGAATTAATAAAACACACATGAAGTTTTCCTACTGAGGACCATAGTAGTAATAGTACAGATTATTTTAAAATCCACTGGTAAATAGCATGAATCTTAACGGTGAAATTCCTAGGAAGTCAGCTTTTATACTTCTGGTATATTTCCTAATGCAGAACCAAACTTGGGAATTTATTTCAGTGACTTAGTCGTGGTTTTCTTTTAGAATTCAAAAATAATTTTTACAGTAAATATTGTTGGCTGTCATCACGAGGCTGCAAAATAGTCCCTGCTGCCAACAAATCTAGTTACGCAGTTGTTGTTGTTTTTAACTTGTTTAAACGGAACAGTTCAGCACTATTAAGGACAAAAGGACCTGTTTTACAACAGGGCGGGAAAGCATTTTTTACCCCTTCCAATTTCTTACGTTGAGAGTATTTCTTTATGTGACCTCACTTCTTTTCAAAGTTTACTGAGAGGGTCAGTAGAATGTGCCATGATTAAAAATATTTAAATTAGGAATGATATAAAAAAGGGCAGTGAAAACTTTTAGTTATAGGTGGGTTGCGGGGGGGTTCTTCAGTATAATTAGCCTAATTTTTACTTGTTGGAAGAAGCCTTTCTAATTATATTTGTCTTGCCTAGGAATGTTATGTGAAAGAAATAGATGACGATAAGGAGAATGTGATTCTGATAAATAAGGCAGACTTGTTGACTTCTGAGCAGCGGAGTGCCTGGGCCACATACTTTGAAAAAGAAAATGTGAAGGTGGTTTTCTGGTCAGCTTTGGCTGAAGCCATCCCACCAATTGGTGACTCTAAGGTAACCTGCGGGACTTTTCCAGGTTGGGTTTCAGGGAGATTAATGGAAATTTGGGGGGTTGGTTTGTTTATTTTTTCCCTAAGTGCTAAGATAGTAGGAGGACCTATAGCAGTGATGGCGAACCTTTTGAGCTCGGCGTGTCAGCATTTTGAAAAACCCTAACTTAACTCTGGTGCCGTGTCACATATAGAAATTTTTTGATATTTGCAGCCATAGTAAAACAAAGACTTATATTTTTGATATTTAAATGCCATTTAACAAAGAAAAATCAACCAAAAAAACGAGTTCGCGTGTCACCTCTGACAGGCGTGTCATAGGTTCGCCATCACTGACCTATAGAAAAATGGGTGACAAGGTGACGTCTCTGCCATCCTCTTGCAGTTTCTTCACCCCGGGAACACGACTTGCTTTATAGCCAGGTACAAACACTGAAAGAGAAGTTGGGGTGCTTCACTGGGCTGGAAAAAGTTTAGCTAAATTAGAAAGCAGGTCTAATGAAGCAAGTTTATTCTACATATACATATACATATATGGCTAAGTTGACTTGTGCATGCGCAATACATATAAAGCTCCTGCTGGTACGTATGTTTCGCTCTGTCATTATCAACCTGAATTTGGTTGACACTTCTATTATAGAGAAAGGGTGAATGGTGATATTAAAATATTTCCTTTCCATGTGCACGAATTTGTGCACAGGGCCACTAGTTTTAAAGAATAGCCTTAGCAGACATCATACTACCTTTACATGTGGAAAAAGTTTTCATTTTGTTTTTACCTTAACTTAGGATATTACTATTCCTTTCAAATATTAGTGATTTGGGGTGAAGGTAGAGTTCATTTTGGTTGTGCAGTTTGCTTTTCTCTTCTTCCAGCTTTAAATCTTGTGCATATTTCATGTGTTTGTCCTTTTATATATTCTTTCCACTCACTGGTAACATTGTTAAATAGATTAGGACCAATAGGGACCAAGCATAGAGCTCTGTAACTTTTGGTGTACTTATGAGCACTCAATGCAAATGTCGCTGTGACAGCATTGTTGTTAATAAAAACTAACCCTTAGAAAATTTATTCTCTGCCAGGTACCACTGTTCTAAGCACTATGTATTTTATTCTTTTCAACAATAAGTGTAAGTGCCTGTTGGCCTCGGGCAGTCTGGCTTCATAGTTTGTCCTCTTAACCATCATTCCTGTTGTTTCAATAATTGTCTTGCTGGAGTCTTTGAATAGCCTGGCCGGTGGCTCAGAGGTTGAGTGTCGACCTATGAACTAGGGAGGTCATAGTTTGATTTTGGATCAGGGCTCATGCCCGGGTTGGGGCAACCAATCAATGATTCTCTCTCAACATTGATGTTTCTATCTTTCGCTCCCTCTCCCTTCTTCTCTGAAACCAATAAAAATATACAGTGGGGCCTTGACTTACAAGTTTAATTCATTCCGTGATGGAGCTCGTAACTCAAATTACTCGTATGTCAAATCAATTTGACAAATCAATTTGGTGGGCTGATATTGTGGCGTTCACTGTGACGTTCGCTGCGCCAACTAGCGGTTGGGTATCTGAAGCTGGCTTGTAACCTGAATTTTAGCTCGCAACTCAAAGCAAAAAATTGGCCGAGAGATGGCTCGTATCTCGAAAAACTCGTTAGTAGGGACGTTCGTAAGTCAAGGCCCCACTGTATTTTAAATATTTATATCACCGTATTGGATAGCCCTGATGCACCAACCCAATAACCCTGTCAAAAATGGAAAAAGGATTAATTTCTGCACCTGTGATATTCCCTAAACAGTCAACCAAGTAGGAGATTTCAAAGGGAAATGGAGTTTGTAGGCATGGTCTTTTCTCAGGGATCCCCTGTTGCTGAATGTCTCTTTAGGGCTCACCAGCTAACTGTGGAATTGTTTCCATATCAGATTTTGGGTTAATAGGGTGTGTTTTGTGGAAGATACTTGTTTTTCCTTTTTAAAAGTTAGGCTCCATTTACTACTTCTAAGTCTTCTGAAATCTGTTTTTCATGATTTCCTAAAACAAAATGCCAGCTACCGTGTTGTTATATATGGAATCACATCTGTCAATTGACTGTCAAACATGGAATCATTAAAAGTAGTTTGATATTCACTGTTTTCTCATCTATTTGAAGTTTGGTTCTTCTTCTATAGTTATTTGACCCCTTCTTATTTAAAAAAAATATATAACATTTTTTTTTGAGTTGAGTACCTTGGTTTTCTCTTAATCATCTGTTAAATTGCACTGCATTCCCCCAAAGATTGACTTTTCCCTTCTTTTTATTTTTCTGACCTCCCTGAGCTCACCTTAGAACACTTCTTATTATTTTATTTATTTTTTAAGAGAGAGAGAGAGAGGAAGGGAGAGGGATAGAGAAATAGAAATAGCAATGAGAGAGAAAAACATCATCAATCGGATGCCTCCTGCACACCCCCCATTGGGAATTGCACCCCCAACCCCGGGCGTATGCCCAGACCGGGAATTGAATCGCAACCTCCTGGTTCCTGGGTCAATACAACCACTGAGCCACACCAGCTGGGCTGCCTCTTTCATATTTTAAAATTATTCAGAAAAGCACACAGTGACGTCTTTACATTGATCATTTATCATATCCAATTCCATGTTTCTGTTTGAGTTGCCAGGCATTATCATGAAATCATACCTATTTTCCCTCACATTTTGTTTACATCGCTTTCCTAAAATCTAAGATAACGTTTTTAACTGAGTTCATAATGTCCTTACCTGTGATAGTTACTCATGCTAACACAATAGATGATTTGAAAATGATGCAAGGTTTATTTACATCACTTCTAAATTCAAACTATTTTATCCTTGTTACAAATTAGTAACACTGTAAATTGCCTTGTTTCTGCTTTGTTATCAGTAGGAATTCAGAAGAATTAATACACCCATGAATAGTACATGATTTTATTTTTCTCCAAAGGAAATCTTTAATTGGTGAATAATTTCCATATACAGAGTTGAGTTTTGTTGCTCCTACATTTTCCACAGGGAACTATCTCCAAAAGGTTTTGATTTACTAATGGCAATTATAAAAGAATAGCAGTTTCTTTAAACACTCAAACTACTGTCTTTAAAAATGTAAAATGAAACTCAAATTACAAACTAAACCCTTCTTCCTTTGTGTAGAGAAGAAAATGTTTTATTGTTAATGAAAAATGCTTTGTTTTCTTCTGCAGTCCATTGCAAAATAATGTATGGCCTAAACCCGTGCTTTCTTTAAAGATTTATCTGTTACAAAAGTAACACATATTACTGTACAAAGTTCAAATCATACAGAAAGGTATAAAGGGAAGGCCCACTGCTCCTCCCCTCAGCCAAGGGCACCTTTTCTGGTCCCCTTCATAATTTGTCCTGTGTTCATCGTAGATAACCAACTCGAGTATTTTCACTAGAGCGAAAAAGTGCAGTTATAGTTTTGAACTTTTGTGTTTTCTCTTATTACATCAGGAACAAGCAGATGCAGATGCTGAAGAAGCCAACAGAACTGACTCTGAAAACTCCAGCTGTGATGAGGCTGAAATTCCACAAGGTGAGACTCGACATCTAGAGAGGGATCCTCTCTCACTTAGTGAAGTTGTCGCTAGTGATGGAGACGACAGTGAGTATGAGGACTGTCAGGAGGAGGAGGAGGAGGACTGGCAGACCTGTTCGGAAGAGGACAGCAACCCTGACGAAGAAGCCTGTGGCCAGGACTGGCAGGAAAGCTGTTTTGTGGATGACAAGGCTCAGGGCAGGAAAACCCCGCAGAAGAGGCAAACGCGCAATTTCAGCCACCTGGTATCAAAGCAGGAGCTACTGGAGATCTTTAAGCAGCTGCACACTGGGAAGAAGGTGAAAGATCAGCACCTTACTGTTGGACTGGTAAGATGAAATGTGTCATAAATTTGTTACCACCTGAGGGTCTTTAATTCTTCATTCTTGGTAGCTGCACTGGAACCCCAGAGACCAATCAGGCGTCATAGGGAATGCCCCACTGCCATCGTGGGAGTGGGCAGTGTGACAGGCAAAGCCCAACTCAAAACAGTGCATTTTCTCAAGGCTTATATTGGTTATGGCCCTGTTCATATTAGTCTTCACTTTTTCCAGTTCAGCACTGCCTATCATGTGACTTACCAAGAGGTACTAGACTGAGGTTGTCTTTGGACCTCTAGACTGCTGTTCTTACATTTAGGTAAGATGGGCTTTTTAGGTAAGGTAGGCTTTTGGCAACTTCCTGTGATCCTTGACAACTTATACTCTAAGTGTTTCAGAAGTGTGTTTGGGAGAATCCCAGCATCTTGGGGACAGGGAAAATATGATAAATGCTTTAGTTGCATAAACATTGCAAATAAGGGAAAGGAGATTGCATTGCTAACTCCATATACCCTAAATTCCAGATAGCTATGAAAAGTGCCCACACCTGAAGAGGGTACAGCCTGGTTCCAGTTGACTGCATCTTTTAGCTAAGGAAATGTACAATGTTAGAGAGGGCATTTATTTTAAAGATCTTCCATCCAGGAGAACGAAATACTAGTGGAGGAAAGTAAATTTTCCACATGGCCGGAACCAGTTTGGCTCAGTGGATAGAGCGTCGGCCTGCGGACTGAAGGGTCCCAGGTTCGATTCCGGTCAAGGGCATGTACCTGGGTTGCGGACACATCCCCAGTGGGAGATGTGCAGGAGGCAGCTGATCGATGTTTCTCTCTCATCAATGTTTCTAACTCTCTATCTCTCTCCTTTCCTCTCTGTAAAAAATCAATAAAATATATTTAAAAAAAAAAAAATTTCCACATGTACCAGAAAACGAACTTCCCTCATGTTTATGAAAATGTGAAGCAGCCTCCCTCCTGTAGAAATCCTAAAATAGGTTAATTTACTCATTCTGCAAACATTTATTGATCACCTACTACATGCCACGCATCCTGCTAGGCCCTAGCCATGTACAGATAGTGTAGACAAGGCAGACACAGTCCCACCCTCCTAGATGTTGTAATCCAAGTAGAGAGGGGGACGTTTAATGCCCTATAGGAGTATATATCATGAGGGAACCTGATTGGGCGGGGGGAGGATGACAGCAACAAAAGTCCTCTCCCCTCACCCCAACAAATAGCACTTAAGCATATAATAATATATCAGGTGATCAAGATATAAATACAAAACAGAAGGATATTGAAATTAATAAGCAGTTACCTGAAATCTTTTAAGAGGTTTATCTTAAAGTATGATGTAAGGTTTTGACAAGGGCATCCAGACAGGCAAAAGGGAAATGTTCAAGCAGAGCAGGAGGAATGGGAAAGTGTGTTCATTGCGTGGCATGTGATCGAGTGTGGTTGAAGTTTGAAGAGTGGTGAGAGTTCAGACTGGAATGGTAGAAGTGTGTCCATTTTAAGTCTTGTAATATAGGTGAAAGTTTGGGATTTTATATTCAGTGAGATTGGTATTTTCTAACCTTCCAGGCATGTTAATGGAGGATTTTTGGAACCATGTAAAAGAGTGGATTGGATTTGGAGGTCTGGGAGAAAGCCTGAGAAAAGGCATAGAACAAGGGTGGCATAATTTATATGATCCTGCTTGATCTGAGGCAACATGACATTTCCAATTTATTGATAGTTGGGGAGAGACAGAGGTGAAAGAATGGATAGTGTTTCACCCAGAACCCAAGAGTAATTGAAGAGTTTTAGTAGCTTGATAACCCACCTCAGCTCATTGTGTCATTTGACATTTTCGGCCAGCAAGACAGAAACTTGTTAATGTTATTAAAAATAATCGGCCCGGCTGGTGTGGCTCAGTGGTTGAGTGTCAACCTATGAACCAGGAGATAGAGGTTCGATTCCCAGTCAGGGCATATGCCTGGGTTGCAGGCTCAATAATTGTATGTTGTGATAATGAAATTGTCTGTGATGCTCAGCTTCACCCAATGAGAGATCCAATGGGAACTGAAATGCCTGTAGATGGGAAGAGGGAGGGGAAGAGCTGGGAACAAGGTGGTAAGTTTTACTGGAGCATCTGCTGTGATAGCAAAACTTATAAAAATAAAATGTACTGCCCTGGCTGGTTTGGCTCAGTGAATAGAGTGTCGGCCTCTAGACTGAAGGGTTCCGTGTTCAATTCCAGCCAAGGGCACATGCCTGGGTTGCGGGCTCAATTCTCAATGGGTAGCGTTCAGGAGGCAGCCAATCAATGATTCTCATCATTGATGCTTCTATCTCTCTGTCCCTCTCCCTTCCTCTCTCAAATCAATAAAAGTACATTTTAAAAATAAATAAAATGTACTATTCATCACTGGAGATGAATGTGAACAAATACCCATACCACAGGTGGGAAAATGTCTGACAACAAACAACGTATATTTCAAATAACCTTCGGAAGCAACCAGACTCATGCTAGTGTTGCCACTATTTATATCATATCTTTGGATCTTTGATAGGTGTGTTGTTTGACTATTCAGTAACTTCTGAGTCTCTTCTAGGTGGGCTACCCAAATGTTGGTAAGAGTTCAACAATCAACACTATCATGGGCAACAAGAAAGTATCTGTGTCTGCCACACCTGGTCACACCAAGCATTTTCAGGTATTTATTGCTACAGCATTGGCCTCTATGTTTCCTACTCAGCCAGTTCCTCCATCTGGGTATTTTCTGAAGTTCTGTGTCACTCGTGTGCTGCTCTTCCTCCCCTTCCTCCTCTGTATGCCCAGCATAAAATCCTCTTACTCGTCTTTCAGACTCTCTTTGTGGAGCCTGGCCTCTGCTTATGTGACTGCCCAGGCCTGGTGATGCCATCCTTTGTCTCTACCAAGGCTGAGATGACTTGCAACGGAATCCTCCCAATTGACCAGATGAGAGATCATGTTCCACCTATATCACTAATATCCTTTCTGCTTAGTAAAGACCCTGGTTGCTATGTGTGAATTGCGGCTTCAAGTTTATTTTGGACATTGTCTTGCATTGATGTATTCAGGACTGATAATCTGAGAATGAAAAATATAAAATATTACTAGTGCTCTGCCCAAGTTTATATAGTGAAAGAGCATCAGGACTTCAGAATTGGAACCCCACGTCCTGGTTGCAGCAGGGTAACCTGGTATAAATGGAGGATCCCAACCTGGGACCTCAGCCTCCAATTGCAAAGCTGCTGGAATCCTGACACTGCCATTTAACTACTTGAGTGACCTTGGAAAACTTGCCCAACCTTCCAGAGTCTTTTCTTTTACGGGTAATAGCTGCCTCCCAGTCACTGAGAATTTAATCATTACAGCTAACATTTACCGAATGCTATGTACTTTCCTAAACACTTGCCAAGTCATACCTCATTTAATTTTCAAGACAACCCTTGAGGTGGATACTGTATGATTTCTTCTTCTTATTTTTTTTTTCCAGAGAGGAAGTGAGAGCGGGAGAGAGAAACGTCAATGATGAGAGAGAATCATTGATCAGCTGCCTCCTGCACGCCTCCCACTGGGGATCCAGCCCACAACCAGGCATCTATCCTGACCAGGAATCAAACTGTGACCTCCTGGTACGTAGGCCGATGCTCAACCACTGAGCCATGCTGGCTAGGCCCTGCATGGTTCTTGACAAGACTTTTAATGACTGCACTTAAGACCACAGCTTTTTGTTTACCCCAATTTATTCTCTCTTTCTATAAGAAATAAGTACAAATTTATTTACCATGATAAAAAAAAATATAATACATTTCTAAAATGAGTACAGTTGTCCAAAAGAACGCATAAAATACAGCATAGGGCAGTGATGGCAAACCTATGACACGCGTGTCAGAGGCGACACGCGAACTCATTTGTTTGGTTGATTTTTCTTTGTTAAATGGCATTTAAATACATAAAATAAATATCAAAAATATAAGTCTTTGCTTTACTATGGTTGCAAATATCAAAAAATTTCTATATGTAACATGGCACCAGAGTTAAGTTAGGGTTTTTCAAAATGCTGACACGCCGAGCTCAAAAGGTTCACCATCACTGGCATAGGGAATATAGTCAATAATATTGCAATAACTAGGTATGGTGCCTGGTGGGTACTGCAATTATTGAGGGGAGCACTTTGCAAAGTATATGATTGTCTAACCACTATGCTGTACACCTGAAACTCATACGAAATAATATTGAAAGTAAACTGTAATAGAAAAATAAGGAAAAAAAGAGAGAATGTACTAAATCTTTTATAGCAACCTGGATGAATCTCAGAAAATGTATTGCAAGCCAGATTAGGTTGGGTTCTGTGGAGGATGCTGGCATGAGTCTGATGTGGATCCTGCCCTTTCAGGATTCGTTCTGTCGGGGCTATGTGGCATGAACATAAGTAACCGTGGTACAAGATAGAAAGTCGTAAGTGGGTTAAGAAAAATCTATGGGAGAAAAAAAAAATTCTCCTTACATGGTCATAAGAATTAGAAACAGACTCTCTCTGCTTTATGTTCGAATTGGGATTATCTCACAAATTGATTGTTGGTTTAGGTAAAAATTTGTCAACTTTAAGATGTATTTCAGAGATTTTAATAATTATTTAAAAGGATTCATTGGTGCATAAGGCTTTGTTTAAAAGGGAAAAAAATTTTAATTAATGAATAACTACTCCTCTTTTGGAGAGGTGAAAAGGTTTTTGCCGTAGAAGTGCTGACATACCATGTTCTTACAAGCATGTGCCAGACGCTAGGGGGAAGAAGGGGACAGTTCAAGGGAATGGTTTCCTTGACAAGCTTACGTTTGCCAGAATATTCCAAGACATGTTTTAGAAGCTACCTATGGCATTAACATCATAAAGCCTAGAGAGGATGAAGATCCCCAGCGGCCTCCAACATCAGAAGAACTGCTGACAGCTTACGGATGTGAGTTGTGGTTTGTATTAAAACATGAACAAAAAATAAAGTTAATGAGAGAAATAGTCCTCTGCAAAGATACAAATTCAGAATTTTTCCTTAGCATTTGTCATGTCCTCTTCCAGAGTTGATGTTTTTGTTTTCTCTGTTGGCCTTGCCTGTGAAGTGGCCTCCAGGTATCTGGTTGGATGGTGGCTTCAGGGTCCAGCGTAGCTGAGGAGAGCAGAGCGCCACCTGAGTGCTCTTTTACTTCAGTGTGTGAAGTGCTTTCTAAAGGTTAGAGAAGGAGATGCTTTGTATTCTTTGTCTCTTTCCCATCACCTCAGAAACCGCTCCCTGGGGAGATGGGTCCTTCATACTCGCCTGGTCTCCGGCCCTTTCCATGTAGAGGCTGCGATGTGGCAGTGTTCAGAGCCCCCACGGGGAGCACAGGGCCTGTCGGCAGTTACCACTCGCTTCTGAAGGAAAGGCCCACGGGACATGCACCGCTTTGATGATACCCAAGTGTAGGCACTAGTTCTGATCTGAGGCTAGGTTGGCTTTTTCTGGAGACTTCTCCCAAAACGGAAGAAAATGAATGTGCTTATCAGAGCAGGAAAAGAGAGTAATGAGGGGAAAGTCAGAAGGGAAAGCCCTTAGAGTGGGACAGAGCAGCGAGGATAGGGAATAGGGACACAAAGCCTCTTCCTTCCCCTTCCATCAACCCCCATAAGCCTCATTCCACATTAAAATGAGTCCACACTCGCCCACCTCCATGTTTTACCTCAATTTCATGTGGGAGTTACTTTAGCCTATCATTTCTCTAGTTGGTTGTAATTTATTTACCTTAAATACAAACTTTAAAGGTTGTCTGGGGGAACCTGTGTCTACTTAAAGGGGTAGCAATGTTAGAAGCATTTCTGTGCATGTGTGACCTGCCTTTAAAAGAATTGTCACCAGCCTGGGAAGGAGTTCAGTTCATTTTATTTCCTGGCAGACAAAGGTGATTTGATAGTGACAATGCTTAAGTCAGACCTTGAACCTACCAAAGTTGAGAGACTTTTTTTTCTTTAATATATTTTTTATTCATTTCAGAGAGGAAGGAAGAGGGAGAGAGAGAAACATCAATAATGAGAGAGAATCATTGATCGGCTGCCTCCTGCACGCCCCACAGTGGGGATTGAGCTACAACCTGGGCATGTGCCCTTGACTGGAATCGAACCCTGGACCCTTCAGTCCGCAGGCCGACGGTCTACCATTGAGCCAAACCAGCTAGGGCTAAGATGAAAGACTTTAACAAGGATGGATACTAAGCACTTGGGTTAAGACTGGTATAGTCACAAATCACAGAACTAGAAGAGACCTTAAAGATCACCCCACCTCTTGCTCCCCTTTTTTAACAAGTAATCTAAAATCAAAGCATGAACTAACTTGCCCAAGGTGGTGTCTGGTCAGTGGCACAGCCTGGATGAGAACCCGTTTTTCCTGATCTTTCCAGGACACTGAGCAAGTTAGAGAAAGGAAAACACCTTTTTGTAGGCAGGGATGACCACACATGTACAGTTTCTAAGGTCACCATCTGCAGGTCCATAAAGAATAGTCTCCGGCAGTTACTTTTAAAAGATGTTGCTAAATAATTCTTGATGTAATTTATTTCTTTAAATAAAAGTGAAATTGAGCATATGTTTGTTAACCATTTATGTTTCTTTTGGAAATCACCTTGTTTCTATGCATTATTTGTTTTTATCTTGATTTGTAGGAGTTCTTTGTTACATGTGCCACAAATGTTTTCCCAATGTGTATGGTTTCTTTTACATAGAAATATTTTTAATAGACTGGATTGTTGTTGTTGTTTTCTTTTTGGCATTTTACTTTGGGGAAGACCATTTCTATCCCAAAAGGATAAAACTGTTTTCCTCTAATATCTTTTCTTATTTAAAACCTTTCGATTTTTAATCTGCCTGAATCTGCTTTTTTGTGTGAGGTGAACTCTAGGATTCTAACTATTCTAAACAGAAAGAGCCAGCACACAGTTAGTATGTGAGGGAGCTGAGTTTTGAACCCACCCTGGCTGCCAACGCCTATATTCTTATCCGCTGTGCTCTGCTCCTCCCTTCTAATTGAGTTAGTAGTAAAAGGATCTTCGCTGTCTCTCTGGGAAACTGGAAAAAGTGTGGGGATATACATAAGAAAACTTGCTCTATTGCTTTTGGTTTTGCTAATAATGACAATATAGCATTCTATAAGTAGCCTCCTTGAATGTTTAAAATCAAGAAATGAAAGAAGTGGAGTAGAAAGAAGTTGTATTGTGTCACAGTGTGGTGCTAGGATATCAGATAAACCCATATGGTTTATTCTCCTGGGTTATCAAATGTTTTTATCATGTGAACCAAAATATTTTCTACAATGGTTATTGACTTTTTCAAAGTAGAGAGTATGGATGCTAGTGCATTAAGGGAAAGGTCTAAGTTATCACCACACTTGTTTTGTTGTGATGTTCTGTCTTCTAACTTGGGTTTTGCAAAATTCCTTTCTCCTCACAGATATGCGAGGATTCATGACAGCACACGGGCAGCCAGACCAGCCTCGGTCTGCACGCTACATCCTGAAGGATTATGTCAATGTAAGGGAACCCTGCTTCTTGTTGCTCTTGAATAAACAGGTCTTTCTCTACGGTATGACTTTAGAAAATGGCTACCTGTTAAGTTATAAAGGAAATATTTTCTCATTGAGATTGTTTTATAACTAGATTTATAGTTTTGATCCGGGAGAGCTAGCATCATATAAAGCAATAAAATAGACTGACAACCTAACAGGAAGGAGACGAAGGTCTCTGAACACCTGGTTTTTCCACTCCTATAACACAGTCTTCCCTGTAATATAGTGTTTATATGTCTTTCTCCTTACATTTATCTAGTAACAACAATAATAGCTAACATTTATTCAAAGTTAAACCCTGCTGGGAATACTTTCAAATGTTTTACGTTTATTATCTCACTAAAAATGCATAACAAGTCTGTGAGGTTATTATTTCCATATTATAAATGAGGGCATGCTAAGTTTTGGATTTTCTTCATCAATGGAGGAGGAACTAATAGTACCTATCTCATGAGATTATTATGGAAAATAAAAGTGAGCAGGCATATTCTCTTGCCTTCAATTCAGGGAGAAAGTAGTTAATGGAATATTTATATGGATAAATTATTTGTTTACAATTTATAAAACTGGAGGATGGGAAGGTGCATTAAAAATAATAGGTTTTCGAGTGTTTATGATGGAAGAGGGAACTCCGCACCCAGTGAACAACTGCAATCAGCCCAGGATCCCGTTAGTACAGTCACTGTCCAGTTGTGTCCTAGTTTTCGCTTTGGAAAATATTCATCGTAAGTCATACAAGTGTACTGAAAAGTGCATACTTTGATAGATATGCAAGTGAAGTAAAAAGGAGCACAGAGCCAAAACCGGTTTGGCTCAGTGGATAGAGCGTCGGCCTGCGGACTGAAAGGTCCCAGGTTCGATTCCAGTCAAGGGCATGTACCTTGGTTGCAGGCACATCCCCGGTGCGGGGTGTGCGGGGGGCAGCTGATCGATGTTTCTTTCTCATTGATGTCTCTGACTCTCTGCCCCTCTCCCTTCCTCTCTGTGAAAAACCAATAAAAATATATAAAAAAAAAAAAGGAGCACAGAGTCCTAGCTGGTTTGGCTCAGTGGATAGACCATCGGCCCGTGGACTGAAGTGTCCTGGGTTCTATTCTATTCAAGGGCAGATACCTTGATTACAGGCTCAATCCCAGACCCTGGTTGGAGCACATGCAGGAGGCAATGTTTCTTTCCCTCCCTCCCTCCTTTTCTCCCACCTTTTCTCCCTCCTTCCTTCCCTCCCTCCCTCCCTTTCCACCTAAAAAACAATAATAAGAAATGAAAAAACTATCCTCTGATGAGGATTTTTTTTAAAAAGGAGCAGAGAAGATTTTATTCTTGTCTGGGGGCTATGGCAGGAGGCTAGGCCTCTAGAACACCACGGATCATCATCAGTTTATTAGGACTCTTCCGTTGCAGGTAACCAAAACTCAGCTTAGCTAATTTAATCAAAAGCGGAAAGCTCCATCAGAGTGTGCCTGGTTGAGATGCCTTGTCTGACAGATGGCATTTGTGATGCTCTGATACCATTCATACTGTCTTTATAGGGTAAACTCCTGTACTGTCATCCTCCTCCGGGGAGAGATCCCCTGACCTTTCAGTATCAACACCAGCGACTACTGGAGAACAAATGGAATGGTGGTGAAATGAAAATACAGCCAGGTCGGAATAAAAAAGCAAAACAGATTGAAAATGTTGTTGACAAAACTTTTTTCCATCAAGTAAGTTTTAAAGCTTTTCTTAATTTCTCATCCAACACGTTTTGTATAACAGCTTTGTTGGCATACAATGTACACATCATAAAATTCACCCTTTTAAAATATACAATTCAGTAGTTTATATTATATTCACAGAGTTGCACAACCTTAACCACTATCTAATTTTAGAACGTTTTTATCACTCCAAAAAGAAACTCCATACCCATTAATAGTCACTCCAAATTCCCCTTTCCCATTAGGCCCTGCCCACCACTAATTTACTTTCTCTATAGATTTGCCTATTCTGGACATTTTGTGTAAATGGATTCATACACTATGCATTCTTTGTGATGGGTATCTTTAACTTGGCATAGTGACTTCAAGGTTCATCCATGAATCAGTATTTTATTCCTTTTTATTGCCAAATAATATTTCATTGAAAGGATAGACCACATTTTGTTTGTTCGTTTATCAGTTGATGGACATCTGGGTTGTTTCCATTTTTTGTCTATTACGAATAATGCTGCTGTGAACATTCATGGGCAAGTTTTGTGTGGACATATATTTACTGTTCTCTTGGGTATGTTTTTAGGAGTGGGATTGCTGGGTCATATGGTAACTCCACATTAACTTCCCAAAGTGGCTGCACCATATTACATTCTCACCAGCATGTATGAGAGTTCCAATTTCTCCACATCCTTGCCAGTATTTATTTTCTTTTTTATATTAGCCATCCTGCTGTGTGTGAATTGGTACCTCATGATTTTGATTTGTACTTCCCTAATGACTAGTTGTATGAGCATCTTTTCATGTGCTCATTGGCATACATATATATATCTTCTCTGGAGGATTCTCTATTGTTGAGTTGTAAGAGTTCTTTGTATAGTCTGGATATGAACCTTTATCCTACTTATTGGGGCCCAGTGCACAAATTCGTGCACCTTGAAAGGAACTATGTGCCACGAGGCTGCAGTGAGCACAGCAGTGGGTCTCAGCCCATCCTCCGCGCCCATACCCAGCCCCTCCTGCTGCGGCCCCCGGTCTCCTGTCGGTGGGTCTCGGCCCATCCTCGGCGCTCGTACCCAGCCCCTCCCGCTGCGGCCCCCGGTCCCCTGTCTGCTGGCAGCCCCGCTGCTGTTCCCATGAGCTGACAGCGCTGGCCCTGCTTGCACCTGCTGATGGCACAGAGTGATTGGGGCCGGCGCCAGCAGTGGGTGTGAGCAGCAGCTGCCGCTTGCACCTGCTGATGGCGGGACCGCGGCACATGGGAGCAAAACATTTTCTGTAATCACCAGAGGCTTGTCTCAACAGCGACCAGCACCCCGCCTTGGTCTGGTGGCCCCACTCCCCTGCTCCACATCCCACCATGGCCAACACCCGCCATGTTCCACGCTCTGCCGCCTGCTGCCAACACCTGGCATGTTCTGTACGCACCCCCTGGTGGTCAGCGCACATCATATCGACTGGTTGTTCAGTTGTTCCGTCATTCGGTCTATTTGCATATTAGGGTTTTATACATATAGAATATATATAGATCTGCAAATTTTTCTCCCATTTAGTAGATTGTCTTTTCTCTAAACCAACATATTTTAATCACAAGTTTATATCACAGGTACAATTTTTAAAATTTAAAAAAGTTTTTCAGTTATAGTTGACATACATAATACGTTAATTTTAGGTATGCAGCATAGTGATTAGACATTTATATAACTTAAAAGTGGCCACCCGATAAGTCTAGTATCATTCACAAGTACATTGTATATTACATTTTAAAGAGCAAATTTATGTGCAGAACATTTAAATCATATAATTGTACCTAGTATATATTAATGTTTTTGTATCTACTATTCCCCCCCCAAAAAAAATGGGGTGCAGGGGTCATGTGTATGCAGAGGATGATTTTTTCTGTATTTGTGTGGTACCTTATTTGTGCCCCACACCGTGATCATGGTGAGGCACACCAAGCAGGTATATTATTCCCACTTTACTATTAAGGACATTGAGGCTTAAGGAGGCTAAGTGAACTACCTAAGGACACTTGTTTGAAATGGCAAAGCTGGACTAGAACTTTGGTTGTTGTGGCTCCTAGTTTGAATTATTTCCAAGTCTACCAGTGTTTAGAAGAAAAGTTACCAATATGCAGGAAGATTAGAAGTTCTTTCCTGAGCCTATTACTGTTATATAGGACATTTAAATTAAAGTTTTAAGTTTTACAAAAAGTTTCTAAAGGTCATGAATAAGAAAGCTGAACACTTACAGTTTAGTTATAATATAATTAGGTATCTAAGTTTTAGCTTCTAGAGTAATGTACTATTCTAAGATCATGAAATCCTGCTTTATACTTGCAAATTATATTGGATTGAATTTTTTTCTAAGTAAACCTAAATTTTTTGTTGTTGTTGTGCCCATCAGTAGATGAATGGATTAGAAAACTGTGGTACATCTACATGATGGAATACTATGCTGCTATAAAAAAGAAGGACCTCTTACCATTTGCAACAGCACGGATGGACCTGGAGAGTATTATGCTAAGTGAAAAAAGCCAGTTGGAGAAAGATAAATATCACATGATCTCACTCATTTGTGGAATATAATGAACAATGTAAACTGATGAACGAAAATAGAGCCAAAGATATAGAAGCATCAAATAGACCATCCAACCTAAGAGGGAAGGCAGGGGAGGGGTGGTGTAAGAGATCAACTAAAGGACTTGTATGTGTGCCTATAAGCATAACCCATGGACACAGACACTAGGGGGGATGAGGGCATGTACTGAGGGGTGTGAGTGGCCAGGGAAGGTGGAAGGAGATATGTAATACTATATGTAATACTTTAAACAATGAAGAATTTTTTTTAGAAAAAGAAAGAAATATGGATGCTGGATTATAAGAGTCTTGTAGTAAGTGGCCCAGAGAAAGCTAATCAGCACCTCGGTTAGAGCAGTGGGGGATAGCTGGAGAGGAGGGGATAGACAGACAAAATTCTAAAGATGGGAGCAGAACTTAGTGGCCAGCTGAGTGCATATGGTAGATGAGGAAGACAAAGAGAGTGTCCTGTCTTGGCAGCCTGGCGGGTTCTTTATACCTCTCACTGAAATAAAGAATGGAGAATCCACTTCTAACTCAGTTTAGATTGAGGCAGGTTGAATTTCGATATCAGGATAGAGATTTCCAGGAAGAAGCTAGTATGATTCTAGCTCTAGATGATATTTGAAGCGATGGAACTAAGGAAAGTTGAGGGGTGGGTGGGAATGAACTGAAGACAGAATGCTGAAAGCTTATCATTTAAGTAACAGGGAGCAAGTACCAGTGAGAGATGGAAGTCCCACTATCTTGGAGTTTCCATAAATAACACTATACATATCCTCTAAAGGAGACTGCTGATATCCTGAATACGATTTCCTCTTATTTGCTAGGAAAATGTGAGAGCTTTGACCAAAGGAGTCCAGGCTGTGATGGGCTACAAGCCTGGGAGTGGCCTGGTGACTGCAGCTACGGTGAGCTCTGAGAGCGGGGCTGGGAAGCCCTGGAAAAAACATGGCAACAGAAATAAAAAAGAGAAAAGTCGTCGACTCTATAAGCACCTGGATACATGAACACAACCGAAGTGGCATCTGCATTGCATCTGGAAAAGAACAGAAGCTGCTCCTGACCTGTGGTGCTACAGGATGGACCTGCTCTGTGGCCCACAGCCACACCCAGCAGTCACTAGCAAGACCCAGGGCTCCTTGGAGCACCAGCTCTAAGGTAGTCATCTCGGAGCCCCAGAACCTCCTATGGGAGGCTGAATTAAGATGGGGGAAAGAACGATGATTATTTGTGTAAATATACACAAATGTATACTAATTTGTAAGTTGGGAAATTTTTGAAAAGATATTAAAATTAAATTGCCACTAACATTTTATTGGTTTATGTAGATACACTGCTATTTGGACATTCCACATTCTTTAGAAACAATTTTAATTTGTACAAACCTGACTGGGATTTTAGATGGATTCTTTTGAGTGAATTATTTAGATTATTCTCAACTTCACATGCCCCTGATATGGCAGAAGGCATATCAGATCTTGGAATTGAGTGTGGGAGGGTCTGGCGTATAGTTTTTAAAGGCCCGTGGAAAGCAGAACCGACTATTGAAAATCACCATCATATAAGCCACGACTACAGAGTGGAGCATTGAGAAAACAGGTCATTGGCTGGTTTTTATTTTAGGCATAGGAATCCTTGTGTCCTCAATACTTGTGCCTATCAAGGGCAATTTACCTTATTTAAAGTCACAATCGTTCTAATACATTTATAACACTGGCTGTTACAGCCTCTGACTTTTTTACTTTTGTCTCCCTTTTTTCTTTCTTTCTCTGAGCCTCATTCCCTTAACTCAGATCATTACCATAAAATGGACATTCCCATGTACACAATTTTGTAAAATATATCAAAAGACCTACAGCCAAACCGGTTTGGCTTAGTGGATAGAGCGTCGGCCTGGGGACTGAAGGGTCCCAGGTTCGATTCCGGTCAGGGCCATGTACCTTGGTTGCGGGCACATCCCCAGTGGGAGGTGTGCAGGAGGCAGCTGGTCGATGTTTCTCTCTCATCAATGTTTCTAACTCTCTATCCCTCTCCCAACATTAAGATATATTTCAAAAGAGAGAGAGAGAGAGAGAGAGAGAGAGAGAGAGAGAGAGAGAGAGAGAGAGAGAGAGGAGAGAGAGAGAAGAGAGTGTG